CCCTGGAGGTCTGTGTCGAATCCCTAAGGACCCAACATAGGGACATAAGAAACATGTGCTGGGACCCTCAGAGGCACACCTGAGTCGTGAACCCTAAACTGCCGGCTTGGGCTCAGCAAAATCTCTCGCCTCAAAAGCTCGGCTGAGCTATCAGAGGCCTAAGGTTCTTAGAATTTTTTTAAAATACCTATCCTCAAAGATCCGTGTGGCCCTTCAGAGGTCTACGCATGTGTAAGGTCCTCAAAGATCCCTGTATGGGCTCTCAGAGAATATGAACACCAGTGGGACTCTCAGAGGCCGGTTTTGGCCCTCTGAAGGCTTCTTAGAGCTCAGTGGAGCTCCTTCGGAGCCTGTGTGAAATGTAAGCAGTCATGAGCCCTGTGGCACTTGAACGGTACTTGAGTCTGTCGCAGACATTTGACGAGAGTTGAAAAAGGCCCGAAGATTTAGTGTCACGCTTTGAACGCAAATTTTGTATCAGCACTTCAAAACTTATGAAAATCAGCTATAAAATGTAATAAAGAACCAACTAGGAACATGAAATGAATCACAGTATTGACATTTCCGAGTCTGGAGTCGGCGTCTTGACGATGTTGGCGACTGCGAGCCCGACTCTGGCTTGAACGAGTCTGACCTCACAGGCATTATCAGAAAGGTACCCCCATTTTTTTCCCGATTCCAAAATCTCATCGGATCTGTATCGATCTCAGGGGGTGCCCGGTCCGAGGTTGGGGGGGGGGGCAAGCTGCCCCGCTTGCCCCCCCGTGGCGACGCTAATGTCCCCCCCTGGCCGTCCGCGTTATGAAAAAGATCCTGGCCTGACGAGAGTTTGCATCTGAAATGCAATTCACGGCTGACGTCTTACCGGGTAGGCTCACGAAGCCTCGTGTGCCGTCCTCACGTTGATCGCGGGATGGTTCGTGTGTATGCCGCTCAGCGCTCGCCGCGCCGGTGTCGTCTCCACGTGTCGCTGCCGCTGGGAGGGCGTCAGTCGGGAATCATCCCACGCCCGTCTGCCGTCGCTGCTGACGGCGCACTGCCGGGCGGCGGCGGCGGCGGCGGCGGCCTCTCAGCGGCCTCTCAGCGGCCGCCGACGGTCGACGGGCGTCGCGGCGGAGTCGGCTCGCCCGGCGAACCGGGACTGCAGTCAGCATTTGGCTCGTGAGCTGTTTGTGGTCAGCGGAAAAAGTCCAGGATTAATATTTTTGAATGAACGGCCGCTTCAACAGCTGCGGGAGGCCGTAAAAATAAAATGCCTACTGGGTTGATATCTGCGAAAAACCGCAACCCCCCCCCGGCCCGGCGCGGGTTAAGTTTATCAAATGTGATTGTAGGCTACAATCACATTTGATTGTAGCCTACAATTTGTGCTACAATTTGTAGCACAACTTGTAAAAGTGGCACAAACCTTGTTACGTTGAACACCTGATGTGAGGCGTAACAATAATAGCTGATGTCGAGTCTAATTGCCAATGGTGTTGGCATCAGCAGTCTGTATTTCGAATGGGGTTACCTAAAGAACTGGTGTTTTGAATTTTGAAATATGTTTTTGTGATAGTCCTGACTCCTGAGTGTTTTTGCGGTTTATATAGCCTTGGTTTGGAGCTTTTGGGCTTTGCCATCTGGCATGGATAGGGACTGACACAACTTTAGGGACGCTTCTCAATAACACTTTTGAAGCACAAGCATTTATATTATTTTCCCATCCCAAAGTTTGACTCCCAAATCACTGCCAATCATCATACACCAGATGACTTCCTTCGGTTCACATGCGCGGTTCAAACAGTTGCATTTACAGAGTACTAGATGAGATGCGCACGGCTTCAACAGACTGGACGTTCTTTCTGTGCATCTGGATAAACACAACAGCTGAGGTAAGCACTTGTGACCAAAAATGTATCCAGAGGCTATGATAGATTGGCCGCAAATGACGTCAGAATGACGTCGTGTTCTGCCATTTTCGACCCAAAAAATGGTTTCGCGAGAAAAACCGTCAAGCCTTTAGCTTTAAAGACACAGAAAAATGTTCAAGACATAAAAGGTGTAGAATTGACAGGGCTGTAAAACTGATATCTCGGATTTTATAAAAAAAAATTGAATTTTGACCCCCAAAATGAAAAAGTAATTTTTGGATATAATAGCCAAAAAATCACAAAATTCTTTCGGATTTCGAAAAAAAAAAACAGGAATATATATAATAGAACTTACCGTCTTCTATTCACATACCAAATTTTAGATCGATGCCTCTTTGTGGCCAAGTTATATCGAAAAAACTTCAAAAATGATGACGTCAAACTTTCAAACTCAACTTTTAGCCATTCCAAGATTCTTACAGACAAGGTTGGGACGCCAGTCACGTGACATTTTCTTTCAATTGGCACCCCATGCGAAACTTTTCCCAACCCCGTGTAGCGCTCGGACGAAAAGGAATAACCTTGGTGTCGGCGCCGTGGGCGCCGTAGACATTTAGGATAGATGGCATTGCATTTAGGCAATATTTATGTGGCATTAGAGTATGTTGATGTGGCTCCAGAACAAGTAAAATTAACTAATATTTTGGGGGAAAACCGTGTAAAAAGCCTACAATAGGTAAGACGCCCCATGCTGATGTATTGTATTTTGTATTTTATTGTACACTGATACTGTACTGATACTGATACTGATGCTGACGCCCTTATTTATAACACAATTGTGTCCTTGCTTTTATTAACAAAAATGCTGGCGCAAGTTTGAATAGCGCAATTCAAATTATCATTGGGATGATTTAGTAGCCAACCACGTTTTTTGCCATTTCTTCAACAAATATCTGTCATAAAAATGACACTGATTCACTGCTCAGTTGTCTTTTGGATCTGAGTAGCATCAGTAAACAAGACTAGTTTATTGTTCTCCAAAAGCTGAAGCAGTTCAAAATGACTTTGATGCTTAGGGGAGAGCGGGGCCAGTTGAAACACGGGGTCAGATGAAACATGGCTTTATTTTCAACAGTATGCAACATTTGACGTTGCCGACACCACTGCGGATCCGCGCTCGACCACTTCCTTTGTCAACGGCGTTTGGGCGGCAAACGGAAGGTAATTTTGATTTGACACTTGTTTTTGTGTTTTTGAGGGGCGTTTGGGAGAAATCGTTTTGATGAATATTTTGTGATATCTCGTATACCTTTGTTTGCTGAAAGAAGAACTCCTGACTCCGGAATAACACCTTATTTGGCCCTTCATTCAGCATGATGCCGTCCCTCCAGCTCGTTTGACATGTGCTTTACAGCGCGTGCGAGATGGCGGGAGCGGATGGGGTCAATTGAAACGCTTCTCTGAGGGTCAGTTGAAACAGGGCCACAGGCCGTTTCAATGGACCCCGGTGACCTTTGCAATGGTTATTGTTCAGGGGCTGTAAACATTAAAGGAAATAGTCCACCTTTGAAATGAGCTTTTAAACTGAAATAGTAGTTTAATAGAGCTCAATTTTTGACCCCTTTTTCTCCAGCCTTTTGCTTGAAAGCACACTATAGCCTGAGATATTTCTCATTTTTCTCATCCGCCCATTTTACCATAGCCTATGTACTTTACGTTACCTATTAGGTATGAGGAACTTTGCACTTTTAGCTTTCCAACGACCTATTGAATGTAGCATTTGGATAAGTAAACCGGACAAAATATCTCCTTAAGAAAGTGGCCTTAAAGAGGAAAACATCCCATTGTTAAGGATAGGTGAAATTGACCCCATGGGCTGGTTCAATTGACCCTCGCATCGGGGTCATTTGAAACGGGCGTACATAGAGCTGTTTTATAAGCATGCGTTTGGCAGCAAAATATGTTTGAAACATAATTTTACGTATCTTAAAATAAAGCCAAAAGAGCATATTTTTTCATGGCATTGTGCATTTTCTGATATGACATCTAGATCTCGCTGTACATGTCAATATATAAAAAGTGGTTCAACTGGCCCCGCTCTCCCCTACCGATCTATTAGATGATACAAGCATTATAAAATTCACTAAATGCCCTGGCTTCGAGTTTCTCAGGTGTCCATACTACAGTGGCGCGGGAACCGGGGGGGGGCTAGGGGGGGCTGAGCCCCTCCAACTTTTCGGCTGGGGGGGCTGGTAATGTATTTGAGCCCCCCCCCAGCTGGAAGAATCGAAATCGGAAATCTACCAACACAATTTCATAGATTCATACATAGGCGCGGGAACCGGGAGAGAGGGCACTGAGGGAAGCTTGCCCTCACAACTCTGGGGCCGTGGGGGCGGTGCCTCACAACTTTGCATGAGGCCAGGAACCGTTGGGGCAGCTTGGCCTCCCCAAATTAGGGGTTGTGAGTCACAAAGGAAGAAAGCATGAGAGTGAAAAATCTACCTATTTTACTGACTCGGCAACTCATTTGGCAGCTTAAAACCTTTATTCCAGGTTGCCAAAACGGTAGTTTCTTCACTCAGCTGAGACGGAATACCACATTTTTTTTCAAATATTTTTTCTTTTTTTTCGTTGAAAAGGCCAAGGTCTGATAAGTGGCCTAAAACCGATGAGAAAACTAGATTTGGGGGTACCCTAGGTTGATCTCTATGATGGTTCAGCCCCCCTAGTCTGGAAGAAGTTCCCGCGCCACTGCCATACTATTTCATATGTAAAAAATGGCTCACATTGTAGACGTGGCTTTATTGTGATGCATTGCTGCTGATTGGGAGTAAGTAAGTACGTACCTTATACCTTGTACTATTGGTCTCAAGATAAGGGCCCAGTCGACCTGCAGTTTTGATGTGGTGAATACCCTTGCCCTCGCCACAGCTCGGGCTGAGTGTACCCCTCCTTCCACTCAGCGGCCCAGCGCCACCCCCACTCGAGTTGTGGCAAGGGCGAGGGTATTCACCACATCCATACTTAAGGTCGCCTGGGCCCTTATCTTGAGACCAATAGTACCTCGTAGGATACGAGTTTCTTAAAACCAACGTTACACACATTCGACGCTACAGGCATGTATTACATGTATATATCCCATATCATACATATACAAATGCAATCATCCGCGATACAGGTAACTCCGCACGAACCTCGCTCCCAACACCGACTATAGCCTACATCAACGGAAACAGGAGCTTCTGCTTAAGCCACACAGAAACTTAACGAGCACCAACGCAGACTGCCCCGGCCCGCGACCCAGCACCGGGTCGCGGGTCGGCCACCTTGCGGCGAATGTGGTAACTACGGTTTCTTAAAACCAACGTTACACACATTCGACGCTACAGGCATGTATTACATGTATATATCCCATATCATACATATACAAATGCAATCACATAGAGAGACCCATAACCGCCGGTGCCCTGTACATACGGCTCACTCGAACATTCGCTGCGTGAAAGACGGAGCTATGCTGTTGTGTACATAATGGTCGAGGAAAACGGATCGCGTTTTCCACCTTCCAAGTCGCTGCACGTCATCTGCATCGAATCCTAGCTCAACTGCCCGAGTAGCACCAGTGGGCCGAAAATCTTTCGGAGTGTGGCCTTTCGCCAACCCGAATTTCTCCGCTAAGTGTATAGCATCTTGCAGGATAGAAGCCACTGTACTCGCTGACACTGCCTGAAACGGCCGAACTAAAGTGAGGAAAACAGGCTTCGATGCCGGACAGCGACACGACTCGGTCCGAGCTAAATAAACACGCAGAGCCGCCACCGGATCTACCGACTCCACAGGGTTAGGAGGCAGCGTTACCCGAAATCCTGTCCTCTGAGCGTCATTTTTGATGCCGAGAAAAGTCACATCTAGCCTACCATCTGACCTGAACTGAATCTGATCCATCGTCAGCACAAATCTTTCCATCACGCCTGAGCCCGCATGGAAGCCCATCGCCAGCGGAGCGATATCTGATGGCCGTAACATCAATGCGATTGCCAGCAAGGTAATAGTTTTCAGGCGCAGTAATTTCACCGACAGTGAATCGTTCCCGGGCCATGACTCAAACAAACGGACAAAGGCAGAGATATCCATGACAGAGGACCGTGCAATGGGCCTGCGTGTACCACTTTTCACAATAGCTTGGGACAGTCGCGCTATCAATGAATCCTGGATGGGACTCATTGCCTCACATGCCTCGTACATAGCAGCCAGAGCAGCAGAAATACAACGGAGGGTTGAATGCGGTCGATCAGACCTACCACACTGAGTCACCAGGAAGTCAGCCACTATTGCTGAATCTGACTGGGGAAAATCGACACCTCGTTCCGCACAAAAGTCTCTGAAAAGGTTGATGTACCGATTGTAATTATCCAGCGTCGATTTTGCGAGGCAAAGCGTGAACTGACCTCGTGCCGCCGGCGACCAGCCCTTAGCCTCTAACCTGGCTCTCCACAGATCCGCCAGGCGAACAGCGTCCACCGCGTGTTGCGGTGTGGTTCTATCTGCTGGTACGGCAGCAGAGGCAGACAGCACCGAGCAGGGGGGTGTCACTACTTTGCTTCGCCATAGGTCCAGTACTGATGTCATTGGTTTCGGACCCGGTGACGTCAGTGCTGGCTACATCCGGGAACTTCTTGCACTTGGTTCTCATTAGAGGTGGCCATATTGTTTTGTCCCGTGACGACACATTTGCGTCACGGAGTCCGAAACTGGCTGTAAACAAATCGCTCAGTGTCGCTACCTCCTATATATGGCCTTGGCACCGAGTCACTGGCGGTAGCCGGAGCGGCGGGCAGATGCTGAGACGCCGCAGCCGATCCAGCCACGGCTGTCCCGGCCACAGAGGCGCGATCAGCGTGGCCGTGGCCCGCTGCGCCTCCACTACATCCAACACTCTGGGAACCATCCGAAACGGCGGGTTCACGAAGTTGTTGTGCTCGTGCCAGTCTCTCTGTCCCAGCGCATCGACCCCTGACGTAGCGGGGTCCCTGAATCTGCTGTTGTAGACTGGCAGCTGCGCCGTTGACAGCGACGCGAACCGGTCCACAGTGTGCGGGCCGAATATGCTCTCCAACTGCTGGAACACGGCAGAATGCAGTGTCCACTCGTGTCGCAATGGAACGCGGGATAGGGCATCGGGACACACATTTAAACAACCTGCAATGTGGTGAGCGACTAACATCAGCTGATACTTGAAGGCAAACGACCAAATGTTCTGCGCAATTGCGTCCAGCCGACTATCGGATGAACCCAGTTTGTTAATAAGCGCTACCACTGTTACATTGTCCGACAGGATCTCGAGTGATTTCCCAAAAAGCGAATCGCGAAACGACAGCAGCGCTAGATAGACTGCCAATAATTCCCGAAAATTGGACGACTCCGAGCTCACCTCCGGACCCCAGCAGCCTGAAGCGGCCTGTTCGACCGGCGCCGAAAGGGTGGCGCCCCAGCCCGTCTCCGACGCGTCGGTGGAGAGCTGCAAGTCGCAGGTAGCCGGCGGCACCAGCTGCCGCCCGTTCCACCCGTCCAGTGACGTAATCCACCACGCCAAATCCTCCCTGGCCTCGGGCGACCAGGCCATGGCCTCGTCCCACGAACGCCTAGAATTCAGAAGCCGGTAAACATTACGAAGCTTGAGTTTTGCGGGAAAAACCGCCGCCATCATACTGATGCATCTGCCAGCAATACGGGCAAGCAGACGTGCCGACACAGTGGGACGTTTCAACATTCTAGAAATGTCCTGCTTCAACTTGGCGACCTTATGTTTAGGTACTGTGATGCTTGGCGGATTGCCAGATGACGCACAATGGACAACGAACCCCAAATAGGTCACTGAAGCCGAAGGAATCAAACATGACTTTTGTCGGTTCACACACAGCCCCAGTGATTGTAATGTTTGCATGAACACTTCTACATCATTTTCTATGCTACTGTGCGTTGATGTGAGCAAAAAATCATCTACATAAGCCATGACCGAAAGCCGTTTTACACCACGCAGATATTCTATCACAGCACGGATACATTTGTGAAAGAAGTACGGACTTCCAACCCAGCCAAACGGTAAGAAACACCATACATACCAACTTCCCTCGTATTGGAAACCGAGGTAAGTACGAAAATCCGCGTGAATCGGAAAGTGATAAAACCCATCTTTTAAGTCAACAGTAACAGCAAGATCAGCGTCTCTCACAATTTCGGGTAACACAGATACTCCTTCAGACGAAAACCGGGGCACGTCACAGTGGGCATTCACATAACGCAGGTCACAAATAAGACGAAACCTTGAATTACTCTTAGGTACAACTTTTAACGGAGATACACAATGCGGGATGACATCCACTTTCTGAATAACACCCCTTTCCTCAAGACACGACAGTTCCTCACGCACGAATTTTGTCTCCTCCCGAGTGAAAAGCGGATTGTTAAAAATACGGCGAATTGGCACTTCACGCAATTGTATAGGAACACCATGTTCAATCCAATCAAGAACCGTTTCAGACGCACCAATGTCCTCCCATGCGTCCCTTGCCAGTGGCATACTCACAGTCACGGGTCCCTCTATTCAGCGAATGCCCCCGGGCCGTCACCGGCCGGCGGACGAGCGGCCAGGTCGCGCGGCCCAGCTGAGACCGCTCCGAAACGCCCGCGGCCGAGCCGCCAGTCGGCCGAGCCGGCGCCGCCTCCAGCCGGACTGTACCGGCCGGCCGGGCTCGGGAACTCCTGGCGCCAGCTCCCACGGCCCCACATTGGAGCTCTCGGCCACGAGCCACCTCGGCCGCGGAATCTGTCAGCGGCACTGACCTGGCGGCGCGCTCCGGAGATAGAGACAGCCCGCTGGAGATTTTCCAGCGCTCCAGGCGAGAACGACGCTGGGTTGTTCTGGAGCGTCTGGAACAACTTCGTCGTTCCGTCGTCAAACTGATTCGCCACGAGAAGGTTGGTATACTCTTCTTGCAAAAATCTGAGCTGCGCAAGCGCAATTGTCGTGACGTCAGCGATGACCGACTCTGAATTGGCGCTTGAACACTGAGACAGTATCTTTAAAGTTGTCTCCTGAAATCTGGCACAACGCTGAATAGTTTGGAACTTCGGCCAGTCGTTCCGTCCTACCCCAGTTCTCGAATCTCCTACGACTAGGTCGGCAGGCAGCTTGATTTTGGCCACTTTATCTCGGATTGATTTAAAATCCGCTTGCAGGTCCCTTGAAGACCCCAGTTCGAACTCACCGGGAGTTGCGTCTTGAGCCTGTGAATGGCCGTCTTCTACGACTAGCCGACGACCGGCGCTGTCGTATGATAGCTGCTGGCTAATAGCTGCCACTGCCTCTTCCAGCTTAGCAAACCTTGCCGAGAGGTTGCTGACCACTTCCTTGACTTCCTTGACTTCCGTCTCCATGAGGAGAGACACCGCCTCGAATACCGGCGGGTCGGTCGGAAGCACCCGGACCGTGCGGAGCACCAACGCAGACTGCCCCGGCCCGCGACCCAGCACCGGGTCGCGGGTCGGCCACCTTGCGGCGAATGTGGTAACTACGGTTGCGAAGTCTTCTTCACCTGTCTTGCTTGCTCTTTGATTGAATTTCTCTATCTTCTAGATCATCTGTGATACTGCTGATGCAATAAAATCCTAGTAATGTTGCTCAACAAGATAATGAATGTAGGGATGTATGCACTCTGTTTGCTGTTTTGGTACAAATGCCTCTCTGGTCAATGAAAGCAGGGGTTTTCTTTGCAGTTTGTTAATTTATTGTGCAAGGCAATTTTACTTCCAAATGCCAAAGCTTTTTTTTAAAATGGTACTCAATCCCACGCTATTTTCCGAGGGCCATGTTACTGAATACTGACTAACCTAAATACTTGACTAGTAAGGCTCAAAACAATATTTAATGCATTATCTATGCAAACCAGACTCCACCAAGTTACAACCAAAGTGGGGCATCTTACCATACCTGTAATGTAAAATGTCCCATATCAGTTGAAAGTGTACTTAGATATGTCAGGATGACAACTTGTGGTAAGCGAGTACCTGTGCCATTTATTGATTACTGGGCTGCAGATGTACAGTGCGCAGACGAACATTGAAAACGGCGAGCCGTCGAGCGTGGGGAACGAAGCCAGCGGCCACGTATTATGCTAAGTACTTTCCAACTACACCACTCAAGTTATTTGGTTAGGTCATAATGATAAAATGCAATTCATATCAGAGCAAACTCCAGGCGTAGTTTATATAGATGTTAAGCATAACCAGGGCTGCGGAGTCGATGGATTTTCGGCGACTCCGACTCCGACTCCGACTCCGGCTTTGAAAAACCAGCTCCGACTCCGACTCCGACTCCGGGCAGAATTGTCGACTCCGACCGACTCCAACTCCCGACTCCGACTCCGCAGACCTAGAAGGGCTGCGGAGTCGACAGATTTTCGGTGACTCCGACTCCGACTCCGGCTCGGGTTTCTAAAATCGACTCCGACTCCGACTCCGACTCCGGTCACAACTGTCGACTCCGACCGACTCAGACTCCGACTCCGCAGCCCTGAGCATAACTCGTTTTTTTATTTGACACCCTTTAATAGTACAGCATGTGGTACAGCATGTGTACAGCATGTAGTACAGCATCAACAAAGCAAACCAGACTTGGCAGACTGGAGAACAAATTAGGCTCAACGAGGATTCGCCTCGTGACCGATTACAGAAATAACCATTGAAAGAAACCTGGCTATCAAAGCGATATCGTGTGGAAACGTTGGAGTCGGCCCGCCCGGAATCTCGGCTCCCCGCCGAGGACGCAGGGCGACTCCCGGCAGCTCTTGTACCAACGCCAAGCGAGGTCGGAGCCAGTCGCGAAGTGGGCGCGCCGTCGGACAAGATGAGGGCCCGCGCACACCGTTTGGACGACGGCCGATAACCTGCCACAGGGGGGAGGGGGGGGGGGGTCGTACATGTATGTTAGTGAGTGGTGAAGAAAAGAGCAGAAATGAATAACGTGTACTCTTAACAATTGATCACAAATGTACTCACTATGATGAGCCATCAAGAGCCATACGAAAGCGTCACGCCGACGTTCACATTCCGGAAATGAGTATACCCAAAGCGAAATACATTTGCAACTACACATGCGTTATACACGTCATATAAAAAGTAACATTATCAGCTCCAGATCGACTCACCCCCGTCATCTCGCAGCTTGGCATCTGCGACACCAGCTCCGGGTGGGCTGCAGTACGGCCAGGTACAGCGGCGTGCGACCGTCACGGCAGGGCGGCCGCCAGCTCCGGGTGGGCTGCAGTACGGCCAGGTACAGCGGCGTGCGACCGTCACGGCAGGTCACTGACCGTCACTGAGCAGTTGCGTTGCCAAGTATACGCGCGCTGCCTGTCTGCTTTGGAGGCCTGCGAAAGAAAAGAAACCTTGCTTAGCAGGGTCGGCTGTATGGATTGTTGTCAGTGTGCAGCCAAATAACGTTGATATAACTGACGCCGGTCATGGAACCTTATTGCTCAAAAACCTACTTTTAATCATCATAACGTAAGCAAATAGTTGTTAACACGCGCCCTGCTGGCGGGGGGGGGGGGAGTTCAAACAGCCTCAGCGTTTTAGTTCGTTTCTTTTTTGCGAATATATGAAATGCTTTTGACTTCGCATTTGCTCCGCGAAGTCAAAAGCATTATTGGTATTATAGTAACCTTCAAGCCGTTACCGTCACCTTCAAGGTATGTAGACACGATACCCGGCATCCTACGCAGAATTGAAGGGTGGGGGACACGATGGGACCTTCGGAATTCCTCAGATATGGGAAACATATATATGTTAATCCATAGATAACATGATTCGTGTTATGTATGGTTTATCACTCACCGGACTACCGTCTTTCTACATTCAACCCGGCCGAGGGGGTTGAAGGAACTCACCTCACCATTTCGGCGATAATTCAATTAGAATTTCACGGTAAAAAGGCCAAACTGTACGCCGTTACAAGGTAGAGTGATTGGTAGGTATCCACTTTTCAGGTCTAAGGTAACTGATGACCTTTGAGGTCAAGTCCAATGCTCCAGTTTATGATTCTGATCTATGCTAACTTCGTCAAAAATTGTCGCAGAGCTGTGATGTTGCCGTTGGTACCATCATGTTTGATATGATGAAGTGTGTCGATAGATATAAAGTGTGCTTGGGAAAGGTCACCCTTAGGGTGCTGCCCTGAGGACTGAAAGCTAGGTCACAGTCGCTCAGGTAAAAAAGTGGCTGTTTGTGGTCATGTCGCAAATTGTTCGGTTCGGCGCGTCTTTCTGAGTTCATTGATGGCTTCTTTGACTCCCTAGCTCAAAATGATCAAGAGTTATTGACAAAACTCTCCATGATCTCAACAGCCCTGGTGACGTCGTATAAGACGTCATGATGGGTTCTGAACACAAAACCTTGCAGGGACTGCGTGAAATTACTAACAGAGGCCCTCAAACGCCAGTGTGGGGACCTCAGAGATCGACTGTATGGGGCCTCTACCGATAAAATGTGGCTCCTGAAGTCAGACATACCGGACCAACATCGATTGGGACCCTCAAAGGACGGTACGAGCCACCAAAAAGGGTCAGTCTTGGCTGGGCCTCAGAAATCACGTGATGAAAAAACACTTACATGCACGTGCAGAGGTGGGAGTTTCCTGCCCACGGTGAACTCGGGAGTGGAGACGACCTTCACCGTCTCCTCCAGCAGATCGGCATCAACCACCGGCTCGCCTCGGTCATCTCCCCGAGAAAGGTGCAGGCCATCGTCCAGAATATGGTTGCGGAGGTTCTTCATGCAGTGCGGGACGTCCGCGAAGAACCACACTCGTCTGTGAAGAGCAGCGAATTCAGAGTATATTGTAAGGTTGTAAGGATTGTTTAGGTTTTGAGCTGGTATTGACTTTGACTTTGTTGACGGTTGACTTGGCAGCACTTAAACAAACTTATATGGGCAACAGGAACAGGATTCAATGGCACAGGATCTTACCGGTCAGGATGAGCAGGATTGATGATGCCAGTCCGGCCGTCGAAAGAAACGCCGAGCTCCCGCCAGAGCCCGACGTTTTTCGATCCCATATCGGAAACCACCGCCCTGACAGGAAATCCCATCTCCTCCAGGGACGTGATGAGTTTAAGGAGGAGCTCCGAGGATACGGCGGTGTCAAAGTCGACGTAGACCGGTTGTTTCCACGATCCGCAGATGGATCGAACCTTGAGAGGAAAAGGATTTTAAGAAGGGTTCATAGCACGTTAGGACGACTTATCAAACGGGAAGGCACTTGGAGTCTGGAGACCGCAATGGAGGTTCATAATATCCTTTTAAGTAATTGTGATAAAATCAGGAAGCCTAATGGGATAAACAAGCATTGAATTAATGGTAGTTGGCACCAGGGCTGCGGAGTCGATGGATTTTCGGCGACTCCGACTCCGACTCCGGCTTTCAAAAACCAGCTCCGACTCCGACTCCGACTCCGGGCAGAATTGTCGACTCCGACCGACTCTAACTCCCGACTCGGACTCCGCAGACCTTGCAGGGCTGCGGAGTCGACATATTTTCGGTGACTCCGACTCCGACTCCGGCTCAGGTTTCTAAAATCGACTCCGACTCCGACTCCGGTCACAACTGTCGACTCCGACCGACTCCGACTCCGACTCCGACTCCGACTCCGCAGCCCTGGTTGGCACCACTACATAATACTTAGTAGCAACATAATGAGTATTGTGATACATCTGAGATATGATGAAATGATTGAAGTCATGAATTTCCATTTCAGACTGACTAAGGATCATCTAAACTTGATGCAATTTCGAAACTGACAAACGTAAGACAATATGTGCATGAACATGAGAGGAATTTAATCATTTGAAGCTCATTTAATGTTAAGCTGATTGGATTAAATTATTAGCATTCAATTTGACCTTCACCTTAGCATTACCATTATTAAATTATTCTAGTTTACAAGTGATAAGTATGAGGCTAGTTACAACAACAAGATTACCTTCTCTTGAAGTCATTCCAAGCAAATAGGGTTGGACCAGCTTCTTTCTTGCCATTCCTAAAATGACAAGAGCACACTCTTGAATGCTCATTGGGCTTTGCATCTTGTCTCCTGTGAAAAAGCAAAGCAATAAAGTTGGTTCTATTAGCAGAAAATTAATCAGACAGCATGGCCCTGCTTCACGGCAAGCCGTAGTTAACTACTCACCACAGCTGGGCACTGGTGCTCATTTTCAAAAGAATTTAGAAATGTCAGTGAAATATCTAAACAATTTTGCCAGCATTTCCATTTGGACAGAATTTTGTCAGCATTTCCATTTGAACCTGAATGTGGGTAGCAGCGTGCAGTGAAACAGAGCCCTGCTCAGCAATGCTAAGCAAAGGGTGGAAACAAACAGTTGAAAATGAAAAGACAAACAAGCTAGAGCAGCATCTCCACACCAGCAGACTTCCTACATCAACCAATCTACAAATACACACCAGCAAGCACCAAGCAAAACCAGCAATTTTTACAACCAAATGTACCTACCTAGAAATTTGGGTAGGTACAAGTGGAGCAGACGTCACACGAAGGTTTTCCAGCTAAGGAGAGGCGCTATACCCGGAGATGCTTCTTTCTAACCTAAACACCGGTGGTGTTGGCGCCTTCACCCACTGTTCTGGAGGCACCACCGAGATCCGAACTCGGGATCTCCTGTTTACCGGAAAACAAACATAACCTAACCTACAAACCTACAGCGCCTATCTTTGGTTGGAAGGCCTTTGCGTGACGTCTGCTCTACTAATGCCAAAATTTGTACTTTTGGTATGATTAACTGCAACAAAAGGTGCTTACTCTCTTGCTGATCCTGCTGAGCCTCCCGGCTCCCATACAGTCATACTGATACATTGTTTGCAATTGTACCATTTGTGAAACAAAGAAATGTGCCGACTGAAAAATATGGATACAAAGAATTGCAGGGACAAACATTTTCCCGACAAGTAATTGCGCGATGAAGAAATAGGTAGGACCATAGGTACTTAAAAAGATTTGTCCTGAAATCACCTAGAAGTTACCCAAGCACGTACTTAGCAAAATGGTGTGAGCCTGTGAGGGTTGCATATCTAAAAAGTCATAAAAGCAGCAATATCACGATAATAAACAAAAGGAGATATCACAATGTCGCATAACGAACCTCATCAGTGTAGTCCATTTCTTCAACTCCCCCTCGTCCTGGGGCAATCGGAAGAAGGAGCACTTGGACTGGGACCTGGCGCTGGAATGACTGCATTGAGGCACAAAACAAAAAGGCATATTTGCTCCTTAGACAGGGGCGGCGGATTCGGGGGGCAGGGGGGGCAGCTGCCCCCCTGCGAGAATGGTGGGGGGCAAAAGTATCTTTTTGCCCCCCCCCCCATAATTTGCGATGAAAACTGAATCATGTAGGATGCAATCCTGACGTTATATTTTCGGATTATTCATAATTGCAAATTTCATGTTTTTTTTACAAGCCGCCTAGCGTCAAATGAAAGTATTCCTTCAAAATACCTACATTTTTGGATTTGGTAGCTGATAAAGTGGTAGCAGTGCTAAGTAGCGAAAGTGACGACGCCGTCACATTTATTGCGCGCTCAGGTATCTTGTCGCCGAGTTTCTTATTCTGAGAGGTTGAGGTGTGTGTGTAGTGATATGGCCTTGGTGTAGTGTTTGATAACTGGGCGGCACTGGGCAGGTTACGCTTAACGCTTTATCTAGTTGGTAATTTCAATTAATTGTAGTATGATGGCTGTAGGGTTAGCAGGGGACCTGAGTCAACAAAAGCGCAGAGGGTCTGCGTCTGTGACGAATTGAGCACCTATGGCAGAACAGTGCTTTTCTCTGCTTGTTTGAAATGTGTGCTTCATGCACACATGAAGGCGAAGCACACATTCATGCTGGGGTGAAGGGGCAATTTATGCTTGAACAGTGAATTAAACTAATTGTAAATATTTACCTGTGGCATCATTGTCATCCCTGGCCGATCTTAGGTATCCCATGTTAATTGCGAGTTTTTGTGTGTTTTGTATATATCAATTGCTATTGATTTTGAGACTTGTTTAGCTGATGTTTGGCAAATATATAATCAACCGATTTTCAATAGTTTGTATATGATTATTGTCTACCAAAATGGTTAGATAATTACAGTGTAAAAACCTTTCTCGCCTTTCCCCAGAACGGAACAGAGCAATCTACTCTTGATTATCTAAGACATGGCGAAGAGAAAGGCTCAAATGAGCCTTGTGAGCATGTTTGGTAAAATCCAAAGAAGGTATGTATCTATTGGTTTGGCGATTTTGATATGTACCATGCTGTTTAAGTGATCGGAATGGCATTATTTTGATTTTTGTAATCAATTGATAAATACATGTCAGTTCAGCCACTTTGATAACAATAAAGCATTAACATTCTAATTAAATTGTGAGTTCATCAATTATTTTGTGTCAGTTACTTCTTATTTATAGTGTCATTTCATGTGATTTCATTTCTGCTTCTGTTCTTGTGCTGCCTTTAAAAAGCTCCATGTTTTGTCTATATTCCCTGGTGCTGCTACTATTTCACAGTACCTGCGGGTAGCATATTAATGAGTTATGTTCTTTTTGTTCCCATTGTTCAGTGTTCACTTTCATTTAGGTTTACATCATTGTTTTGTTTTTTATAGCTTTGACCAAATATGTCAAGACTCTGAATCATGATACTCGAGTAGCTTTGTATTTTCTTTCATTTAATTACAACTTCACAATTGAGCATTTTATCTCAAAGCTGATATAAACCAAAGGAAAGAAGGTTATATGAAAATTGAAACCCTTTAATTGGATGACTTTCTATATTCAAACTCCAATATGTCTATGTCACACAACGAGTTAATCATTAATAACTTTTTCCATCACTACATGCATTCCAGAAGTGACACTAGCCAGAGTTCAACGCCTTCTGATCCTGTGAACGCTCCTGAGAGCACTGCTCCTCCTGATCCTGTGACTGTGCACGCTCCTGAGAGCACTGCACCTCCTGGCCCTGTGACTGTGGACGCTCCTGAGAGCACTGCACCTCCTGGTCCTGTGACTGTGGACGCTCCTGAGAGCACTGCACCTTCTGATGCTGTGCACCTCCTTGAGGGCAGAAACTCAGGTATGTTTATCAGGTTTTATTCATTAGGTTTGGTGACTGCAAGTTTCAAAACACGTGAATTTCCGGCGATGAGTTAAAACAAAAGTTATGTGCATTGTACAGAAGAATATCTCTCTCTCTCTCTCTCTCTCTCTCTCTCTCTCTCTCTCTCTCTCTCTCTCTCTCTCTCTCTCTCTCTCTCTCTCTCTCTCTCTCTCTCTCTCTCTCTCTCTCTCTCTCTCTCTCTCTCTCTCTCTCTCCCCTCCCCTCCCTCTTTCTCCCTCCATTATTTCACAAGTACTTTTTCCTAAACTTACAAGAAGGTGCTTATATGTTCCAAAATAGCTGTTTTGCGTCGTTCTGATGTTCTTACCGCGTTCTATTACCGTACTGTTCTGGAAATGTTAGAACTGAAATCCGGTAATTGAACACGCATCGTAATAATTTGGCTAGATTTAGAAACACTTCCATGCGAGGTATCTGACGCCGAAAACTAGTGCTGAGCATGTCGTTAAATCAATTTCAATCCTTCCCAGATCCTCATCAGCCTACGCAGCTGTCCTTTCCGGAGACCAACGGCCGGAAGTTTCGAAGTGATTGGTATAGGGAGTATCCTTTCCTCTCTTACAACGTGGGGAGTGACTCAGTGACTTGCCACACATGCTGCCGTGCGCTACGGCTGAAGCTGATGCAGCGACC